AATGTGGTAAATCTTTGGTGTACTCCTAGCATTTTTCATTTTTTCTTCTATGAAAGGAAGGGGGGCGTGGGCCGTGGGTGGTACAATAAATTCTGGTAAAACTAAAACTAGTGTGAGGCCAAAGATGAGTCTTTTCCTTTTCCAGTTTCAGCCTTTAGTAAAGTTGCTTACTTACTCATCTCTCTCTCTCTCTCTATCTGTCTTCCCCACAGCTCTGAGTTTGTGGGTTCTGAAGAAGAGACATGTGATAGATCACCGATTCATTGTAGTCTGATGCTGATGAGTTTCACTATTATTCCTTCCTGCATTTCCTTTCTTCACTGTAAGTGCATATTTCTCTTGAATTGTTTGTAATTCCTTCATTAACTGCAAAATATATGTATAATGTTCACAATTCTTCTGCATCCCCATTATCTAGATTAACTTTATCATTGTTTTGGGTTTCATCTTTTTTACTTTTAGAAATATTATTGGCTAATTTCATTGTCTATAAGTTTACTAACTTACGAAATCTGATCTTTTCTTCATATCTTGTTTATGTGTAAATCAAAGAAACAATCTTAAAATGGTCTTAGTGATTTTTTTATTCACACTGCATGTATGCATATTTCAGAAATCTGGACATCTATTCTCTTTTCTTTGTAATAATGAGCACTTAATTTTCCATGGTGATTCAGGATCTCCATTTATATTTTATAGATTATGTACATCCATTTTCTTAATTTTATATAATGAGCCTAAAGTGAATGTGAGGACATAGGTTGCGTTTGACATTAGCTTTACACTATTTTTTGTTCATGTAATTTGAAAGGGAAAGGAAAAAAAATGAGATGGAAAGAAATTTTTCATGTTTGGTTTGAGTCGAAAAGAAAAGAAAAGAAAATGAGTAGAAGTAAAGGAAAATTGGATTTCTTCCATTTTGGTGAGGAAAAGGTGAGAAATCCTTTTCTTTTCCTTTCCTTCCAAATTTCCTTGAACCAAACATAGGGTTAGCGTTTTGAAAATGATATCCAACAGTAGCTATTGGCATTAGCATTTTAAACACCATAAATTATCCAAGATGCTTATGCTAATCACAAACGTTGTTCCCAACAAAGCCTTAAATAATGAACATCATTACATTCATTTTCTTAGCTTTAGCTTGAAATGCATGTGAGGGATAATAGTATCCAGGATCTCCATTTATAGTAGTAAACACAAATTTACCAAAAGAAAAAAAAAACCAAGCCATCAGCAAAGGAAAGAGATAATGACTCGTGTTTTAATCTGGCTCCAGAAAATGAAAATGCAGAACTTGCAGAAGAAAAAAAGTTATATTTATTTCCATTCCATAGGTGGAAAGTGACATAACAAATAGATCTAATGCCTCTCCCACTCTTTCACTCTATACATGCATTGATTTAATTCTTTTTGCTCAGATTGAATACATATTTGATTGTGTTGATGAACAGAACATAACGGGGAAATGACTAAGGTAAGTCCAGAACTCGTAGGAGGCGAGGTGCAGATGTACACATTCAAATCAGTGTCTGCAGATGTAAGCTTTGTTTCTAATCAGTTCCCCAAATACAAGCTCGGGCCCGATTTTCAGATTTTAGAGGACACATTGTTGGAAAACAGAGGTCCATCCCTGAAGGAGGTTGTTGAAGAAGAAACTGGTCGGCTAACAGATCAACACGAGCGTCTCTCTGTACGTGATCTAGCTAGCAAATTTGACAAGAATTTGGCATCTGCTGCCAAATTAGCTAATGAGGTTGTAAATTCAGCTACTAATTATCTTCTTCTTTTTTGAAAGGGCTGCTAATTATCTTTACAAGTTAAGAAATGCTGTTCAGATTCTGAGAAATTATTTTTATAATTTTTTTGCTTTTTTTCATTGAGATCTTTCTAGCTTCAAGGATGATGTATTAGTTAACTAGCTTTAACATTACTTTTGCATGGATTCAGGCTAAACTAAGAGATGCCCCTTCTTTAGAGGGACATGTCCTTTTGAAGAAACTAAGAGATGCACTGGAAACTCTGAAAGGAAGATTGGCGGGTCAGAATAAAGAAGATGTCGATATAGCCATTTCAATGGTTAGTCATTGCTGGTACCGCCTAGAGTCACTGTTTAAAACATTTTTGCTTTAGGGAAATAATAGACTTAATCAAAATGGCACATTGAATTTCCTTTGCTTCTAACTTTCTATGACGTTTAGGGTAGTAAATGCAACAATGCATCATGGGTCTAAGAGGAACAGCCTCTCTATTTATTAGAGGGGTGAAGCTGCATACATTACCACTGCCCAGACCCCAACGGAGTTGGGAATATACTGAGTGTGTTGTTGTTGGTTTTGTTGTTGTATGGCCAGAACATATATCCAAACTCTATAATTTCATATATTAATGTTGTTTAAAAAAATCCATGCATAAGTGGCTTTGTTTTAGTTGGGACTATGCTGGGCTTCTTGTTGTTGTTGTTGTTGTATAAGCGGCTTTGTCTTGTTTAGGTGGAAGCCCTAGCTGTACGGTTAACTCAAAAAGAAGGAGATCTTATACAAGAGAAGTTTGAAGTGAACAAACTTGTGAGCATTTTAAAGCAGGTGATGCTATCTTCCTTCTGCACCACCACTAACCTGAACAGTGAAATGGTTGAGATTTCTACTATTGGTATTTAAACATATTGATTCATATGGAAACATGTTGGTATCAAAATGCAAAATGAATCCTTATATAGTGTTATAAGAAAAGAAACACAAACGAGAAAAATGAAGCAATAGTCTCTCTATGTTCTACAGGCGTCAGAAGATGCTAAAAAGTTGGTTAATCAAGAGAGATCTTTTGCTTGTGCTGAAATAGAAAGTGCGAGAGCAGTTGTGCAAAGAATTGGCGAAGCCCTAGAAGAACAAGAAGCAGATGATAGAACGGCAGGGAAACAGGTGCTTGTAGGATTGACTATTGTATTTTATTTCTATTGAGAGTAACAAATTCTAGTAGTTCCCCACGGGCTTGAAATATTGAAGTGAGTAGTGAAATCTCCCTTCACTGTGACAGTTGAAACATGTTTTCTGTAGCAGGAAGTTGAGGAATTAATGGAGGAGGTTCAAGAAGCTAGAAGAATTAGACTCTTGCATCAGCCCAGCAAGGTATATACAAACATGCATTTGTTAGACATATTCATGTGGTTTTCCAGCTAAGATTCCATCTTTTTCTTTTCTGGCAGTAACATGCATCTTGTTTTGTAGTCATTTTGTTACTTTATACTGCGTATTAATAGTTAAATTCAAAACAGAATCTTAGAGCATACGTAAAGGTTTGTATACATCTCTACACCCCCACCCCGGAGTACTTTATATGAAAATGAATGATTTGCAATCCCGTGCTCTTGACTCCCAATTCGAATTGAAACTAAGTTCTTTGATGTATCTTTGGTCTTTGAAGTGTATTGTATGGTGGTGCTATTTGGTCTTCAACAAGGATAACTTATGTGAGCAAGTTGTGGCAGTTAGTGTAAACTTATCTGCTGACCACAAGATGCTATTTGTAGGTGATGGACATGGAACATGAAGTCCAAGCACTACGAACACTTCTAAAAGAAAAAGCAGTGGTTTCGTTTAAACTCCAAAATGAGGTCTACTTCATTCCTTGTTTCTCACCATGTAGGCGCATTACATTATTATGAAGTTAATAGATATCACTATTTCAAATTTGAATCATTTAAAAATATAACAAGGAATATCTGATATGATAGATGTAGTGATGTGTACTGAATATAGAATAGGGATTTATTCTATATTCTATGCTCATTTTTTAAGAAGTCATTTTTAAAAAAAAAATATTGGTGGCATATTTTTTACGTACCTTGAATTTGACTTGATTCTATGAAAAGTATTTTCATCAGCTTCTTTTATTTAGTTAGGATCCACTCCGTAAGACCTAAAGTGGTGCGAAAATATGGCTTAATTTAACCTCCTAATGGTATGTAGATGTGCATGCGAGCATGCATATCCATGAACTAATTTTGAAGATGTGCACAATAACTTCCATAATTTGTCAGAGTGGGTTTTCTATTTCTAAAAGGACGGCATTTCTAAATGTTTGCAGTTAGCAATGAACAAGAGAAAAGAGAAAAACAAGTCTCAATTGTATCAAATAATTGGTGCAGAAAGTGTTGGCTCAATTTTACGTATCCAGTCATGCGCAGATGAGGCAGTTGATACTTCAAAATGCTCGATTCAGTGGTATCGGTTATCTTCTGAATGCAGCCGAAGGGAACCTATTTCAGGTATCTCGTTTATCTTGATACATGCATGGTATTGCCCAAGGAACCTTCATTTTAGTTTATGATTTGGACAAATTTCAAAGGGCAGAGTTTAATTTTCTTTAAATGCTGCACAACTTTCCTGTGATTTAAATATCCAGGTGCGGACAAATCTGTTTATGCCCCTGAACCCATCGATGTTGGGCGAGTTCTAGAAGTTGATATTGTCTCAAATTGCCTAAAGGCCTCATTGACGACTGTTGGCCAAATAGACCAAGGTTGGTGATAAACAAATTTATGCATTTTCATTATTTTCTAATATGCTTTGTTTCGTTTTGATGTCATCAGGATGCTATTGAAATTAGTAATTGGACTTTAATAATTTATGGGAGAATGACACTTTTACTCCTGTAGTTAACCCTTGGCAGTTGGCACTCTCAGTTCTTGGATGACTGGCCTTTACATTTTCAGGCCCCATGTTTTCCCTGAAGGGGCTGAAAATGGAGGAGTCAAGTGTCTCATGTCTGGGAATTAAAAGTGTGATGATGGTGTTACTCGGGGACTAAAAGTATAAATTTCCCTTTTGTTTATTTCACAGCACCAGGGCTGTGGAATTATTTGGAGACACTACTTCGGAAATCAAACACGGAATTCAGCGTAAGTGCTTCTTATTATCATTCTAACTTCATCAAAGACAGTAAGTTTGCCACAATGGTATTGACTTTTAAGCATAGCTCCTTGTACTTGGACCTAAAAGAGTCACTTTTGATAACGTTCTAGCTTCAGGTTTTTAATGGCATAGAAACAAAATGGCGCATAAAACTTTTTTACCTTCTTATTTTGTATGAATAGCCTCTCTATTTTTTACATGGGTAAGGTTGTGTACGGAGTTGGGATTATACCGGGGCTGTTATTATTGGCGTTGATATTAAATTTTAAAGATTTAAAGCAATTGGAGTTTGCTTCTCAGGTGGTTATTGCCCAGATGAACAGAAGGAACTATTCGTCACGTTCAGTTCATTCGTTGCATGTTGGGAAAATGAGGATGAAGCTTTCAAAAGGATGGATTACAAAAGCTCGAGATTCTTATTCTGGGTCCATGCAGGTACCAACCAAACACTGCTATTAATCTTGAAAACCCACTTATCTATTTTGCTCAGGTGCCATAACCAATGGAGCTAAAAGAGTCATTTTTGACGATGTCTTAGCTTAGAGTTTGTTATTTGTTTATTTATTTTACTTGTTTCTTCTGAATCTCAGCTATGCGGATTCAGAGGGGGAGGAAACTCTGCGGCAAAGTCATTGTTCTGGCAACCTAGGAAAGGGCAGTCCTTTGTGTTGGTTTTTGACACGGAGCGAGAAAGAAATGGGGCTCTCGTTCTGGCCAGAAAACATGCTCTTGATTGCAATGTGAGTAGGCACAAACTATATTTCATCACTCTTTTCCATAGCGCTTCTTTGCACCAAGGCTGTAAAAAACATTGTAATGACAGGTGAATCTTGCCGGGCCGGATGACGATGTTTTGCTGTGAATCTAACAGCTCTCTCATTTCCATTTTTTTTTTGTTTTTTAAGTTTTTTTTAATTTGTTTGTGTGTGGGTGTGGGATAGAAAGGGTTGTTTGTTTACTAATGAGTTAGTTAGTTACATCCATGAGGCATTTGTTTTTATTGTTTGCCGAATCAAAGGGGTTGTAACCAATTTCACTAGCAACCAAATACGGAGTAGTATTCATTTGTTTTTTTCAAGTTTAATTTTTTTTAATGACTTGCGTTTGTTAACACCTTAGTGTATGTGAGATTGATAATTTGATATTGGCAAAATGGCAACACCGAATATATAACCAACAGGTGAAAATTATACACCAACTAACTCGTGCCACGCACGGGGTTGAACAAAATTTCTGCTGATTGTGGAATTTTTTCAATGCAATATTTTTTTTGAAAGAAAAATATATAATTCCGACATGATTTTTAATACTATAGACAAAAATGCAAAAGTAGAATAAATAATATTTGAGGAACTGAATGTGTATTCAACAATGTTTTTTAATACCAAATTTTCTAAGGGTCCGTTTGGTATAAGAAATTGGTGAAATTGGAATTGAATTAGAATTGAAATTTCATGGGATTCGATTCCATAGAATTGAATTCTGTTAATTTTAATTCATTTTTTGCACTATCAATTCCAAATTCACATAATTTTTGTGCTACCAATCACCAGAATTGGAATGGAAGTCTCCAATTTCAATTTCATAGTTTGAATTCCATGTACCAAACGGGACCTAATAGATTTTATTGTAGTAGGACATAAAACAATTTTGGTATGATTGTAATGGTTTCAACTCTCATCTAAAACTAATACTCCCTCCGTCCCCAATTTGATTACAAATTGCGGGTTACGGAGTAAAATTTCCTACTTTTTGAAATCATTTTATCTACAAATCGGTATATCAATAATATATAAAAATTACATATTAAAAAACTACGTCAAAAGTTCTACAAAACAAGAGGTGACAAACATATTTTATTTTATCAAATACTTAATGAAATTGCGTAAACAAACAAAAGTTATCGAGAGGAGAGAATTCAAACGAGGAATTTACGTAAATAGCACTAAAACATAATGACTTTCCCTAAATAGCACTACATGTGTTTTTTCCCAATGTAGCACTTTTAGCCATTATTCAAGTAAATGTTTGTCATCACTGGTCATTATAGACATTCTTAAGTGCTATTTAGGGAATAAAACAATTTAAGTGCTATTTAGAGAAATGACTTAAGTTTTAGTGCTATTTGGTGCAAATATTTCAAACGGAGGAAGTATTTTTAATCTTGTCTTTGTATTGATTCTTTGACCTTGACTTTTGTTGATAGTAATTGCAAAACATAAGACTATTAGAAATTGTCTTCTCTAAAACTTCAGGTGTAATTAGATCAGATGGAACCAAATTTATTTGAGGTATGTAAACTTTTCCCTCGACTCAATTTCCCAAAACCATAAAAACATCAATAACGCTCTTTCGCAGCTCTTCAACGATTAGTATTGTACCATTAAACAAATACAAATATTTGGTCGATGTTCCCCAATAACATAATTGGTACCCTTATTTTAAAAATTATTTATGTGGTTTGGGATTTTCGAAGATTTGATTTATTCAAAAACTCAACTGTTATCTAATCGTCATCAATACCTACATATAAATCTGCTTGTCATGAAGAATTAGAACTCGAATACACCATTTTATCTTCGGGAATGAGGGATATGACATTCATTTACCATTTATATAACCTCAAGCATGGGTCCTAATGGTGTCCTATCCTTGGAAAAAGAATAACTTTTCATAGTATCCAATATGTTCAGGTAAGTGAAAACTACTACACTCTTGAGGGATTAACATGTATCTAGAATCAAGAATTCGGATGGAATTTCAATCTCAGCTATTACATCAATCACTTTTCCAAGCTTTTTGATCTCCAACTTTGATTATCCAATTAGAATAGGTGTGTGTGTCCCTATCTGCGTAAAGAACGTCGATGAATACATTCTCATATTCTTTGTCAACACATAAAGTTTACAATACGACCATAATTTTGAAGAATTGGTGGTAATACTTACAATTTCCTCTCTTGAAACTCTGAGTAAAACATGAAGAGTTTGTCGAAAATTACCTCCAAGTACAACTCTTTTCCCTCCATAAGTATACAATCTAGAGTTTTTATTTGAGAAACTCATTACATCTCTCATCGTGCAATTCAATGTCTCAAAAGCAAATTTATTCTTATACATATTTAATCCCATATGATTAGACTTATTTGTTGGATTAGTTCTACTTTCATTCTTCCTTGTTTGAAGGCACACGTTGAGCACTTAGTGTTAGAAGGATTGATAATCTCAAGTGTGTTGTCTTTCCACCAGGCAAAAGTAATGTTGGAATGCCACCGGATCGATATTCAAGACAACCTTACCATTTGACCTCAAAGAAGCATGCACTGATTTCGATAGAAATATTTTTCCAGTTCCATCGTAACCATATACAAAAAAGAAACCTCCTCTTACAGCCGTTACAATTTTTGTTATATCATCGTATATCTTCCGCTGATCTTTATTCATCGTAGATAAGTATCCATAAGATCACATGACTTCTTTTATCATAGTTCAACTCTTATACCAATAAATTATATTGAAATCTATTAATTGGACTGCCATTTGGAAATGACATCCTACTAAATTCTCTTAAAGACTGTCCATTTGCGGTAGACAACTTTTCAATCTCAATTAGGCGTAAATTCATTAGATCTTTTCGGGAAATTATATGCTCTGAAAAAAATTACAAAAAAGTGACTTAATTAGTTCTACATAGTACTCCATTAAAGAGTTTGATTTTAACAAAATGTATTATATATGGATTAATATGTTAAAAAACTACTTTTCTAATGAAATACCTTGATTATGCAATATTCTCCTTCAATCAAATAAAATTCCATCCATCAGGAGTTCTTATGATTTTTGTCGAAACAATTTGCACTCATGATATTTGTCACTAATGATGTGACGAACAACTTAATTGATTCCCATATCTTGACTCAGCCTTTGTTATACATTTAAAAAATTCTTTATCATTAGTTAAAGACCCCAATGTATCACATGCTTCCTCGAATGAATTATAAAGAAATAACATTGTTTGATGTCTTCAAGCTCTCATAACTCTTTGGTTCCTGTTGCCACATACTGTAGTCGGCCTATTGATGGTCTTTCATACTTCTTTTTGACATGTGTTATAATTATTTTTTATACATGATAGTTTTTCAAATAAAAACATTAGAGTTAGTAACGAAGCAGATGTACTTTTTTACCTTTAAAGACATTACACGCCATATATAATTTTTTTGCCTTTAAATATGTAAATATTAAACATTTTATATCTTTTATCCAGTAATACCTTGTTATAATTTTCAAATTATATGTTCTTTTTCATAAATAAATCATGTACCATTTAAGAATATAACAATTAATTTTTAACCAAGAATATAACAATTAGTATTCAAAAAAATATCATTTGATCATAATTGCATTTATAACCATTAATATTATACCATAAATTATTTTATTGTAAAAAGCAATTAATAATTAACTTATTACACATAATACAAATGCATTATTTATCCATTTATAAAAAATTTCTTTTTAATATACATAGGATACATTTTTAATTTTTCAAAAAATATTTAAATATCAACTTCTATTATTTCATTGTTTTAAGAAAAGAGAATTTGAAAATCATTTATTCAAAAAGAGTACATCAAGGAATGTTCAGGAAGAATCTAATTTTGCATGAAAAAATAGGAGGGTCGATGGAAATCAGAAAGAAAACAATAAGAAAGGTTCCGCTTAATGTTTAATGTTTATCGACCGACATGACTGCTAACATGTAAATAATCTGTCCAATAAGCATGACACATGTCACAATTCTGGAAGCTAACTTTCAAAGTTAATATATAAAGATAAATATTCTAAAAAACTACACTCGCACTCTGTATATAAGGCATATACTATATATTTTGATTAAAATTGTCACATCATTAAGTCATTAATAGGTAGTGGATGATGTTAAAATTTTACCAAGTGTACTCGACACATGCCGCAATTATGAGTGTTCAACTCTCAAATTTTATATAAAAAGTTAAAGCAAAATGCTAAAAATGTTTAATTTGAGATACATTAAGTATATATTATTTTTTTCATTTTGTTTACTTTTATTTTAAACACAAAAAATTTTAGTTTTAAAATATTAGAAACAAAACAAAAAAACTTTTAAAAAAATGAAAAAAAGAAAAGAAAAAATACATTAAAAAAGGGAAAACCCAAAAATAAAAGGAAAATGAGCTATGTTGTCCCTTGTGATTTGAAAAATTTGCACCAATGTCTTTCTTTCCCCAAAAATAATCTAAAAAAGGTCAAAAAAATTGTGAAAAAGTGTTTGTGCCATAATTTTAATCCATAAGGATTTTATAAATTAATTTTGAAAATAGATGAGACAATTATACTCATTTTCCTAAGCCACGAGAAGTACTGGAGCTTTTTGGCCCTGTAATTTTCTTCAATGTAGCATTATTAAAGAATCTAAGAGAATATAACATCGACATCAAGAACTAAATAAATTATATAACATATGATAATGTCTCATGAAGTTCTTGTTAATAAATTTGGTAATAACATGTCAAAGTCTTATTTAAAAATTATTTTTTAAAAAAAATGTCAATGCATTAAAATTTTTTGTTTAAGTTGCAAGGGTTATTGTTATCTTTTAAAAGCCTAAAAGTAGTCTAAAACTAGTATTTTTAATCATTTATTTGTTTTCATAAGAAAAATAACCACATAAAATTGATTGTGAGTTAGTACCGACTTAGTAAAAAAAATAATTAGGCTAATAGCATTGGTACCCCTATAGTTCATAAAAAAACGTCAAAACCCCATATATTTTCAAAAGTTATTTGTAAAGTCGTTACGTATGATTTCTAAATAGAGCACATATGCCCCTTACTTATTTTTAGAGTTAAAATGACATTTATGTCTTTTCTTTAATTTTCATCTATCTTGAACTTCTATGTTTTTATTTTCTTTTATTATATAAATAAATAAAATAAAATATACGCTCTTCATCACAAATTAAAAATTTTCATTTATGTAAGTTTTAAAAAAATGGATTTTTTGGAGAATATTAAAAAAGAAAATGAAAAATAGATAAATGAAATAAAATATTATGTATGAAGTAAAAAAATTGAAAAAGAAAGAAAAAAATAAAACACAATCTTTGTCTTTTCCTCCTCTACTTCCCATCATCTTCATCCTCT